TCATATACAGATGAGTAAATAATGTGCAGGCATTTGTATTTATATACATGCATATGTAGATGTATGTTATGTACCATTGGTCTTGAATGCGAGAGATGATTTTTTCAGAAGAAAACATAGAGGATATTGTGTGAATTTAAAAAAAAGTTTATATAACTTATAATTCTTCCCAGATTCTTGTTGTTCTGAATCGATCAGTCAAGGTATTTTTCATCCTAAACTTCAGGCAAGAATTTCAACTGGTCAATCAGGAAAAAAAGAATCTGAAAAACGTAGATCTAAGAAGGTTGATTAGTGATGCTGATTATTCAAATTCTTTCAAATAAAATTAGAGCATTGTGCAAACTAACAGTAATCACATTATCGGACAATATAAGTTACTAGTTGTTTGACTGTATATTGCCAATAATGAATCCATATTCTTTTGGGTTCTTTGTGTCTCTATTTGAAAAACAAGGTTACACTTTCTTTTACTCAATGGCTATTTATCCAATAAAAACAAAAACATACTTTGTCTTCACATTAATAATAAAAAGAAAAAAATAACTATTAAAAAAAAAATTTCTTTTTCAATTAGCAGATGATGAACTTCTTTCTTTTGTCCAGTCTTTACATATAAGTTTATGTCCTCGTTTCCATGCTTGCTTTTGACATGTCGATGAACAATACCATGCATTACGACATCGACTACAAGCTGCAAATGGTTTACGATATGGTATATTACCATTTGTTAAATTTGGATTTGGATTATCAATAATTGGTGAAAGTGTTTTACATTCTGTACATGAATATGCATCATCACCTTCGAATGTACATCGTTGACATTCACACCAAAAATTATATGCACGTTTAAGCATAGCACGACGTGCACGACGTCCAAGTGCTAAATCAACATAATTTATAGTTAATTCATCACCTGGTTTAAGTTGATGTTTACAGCGAACCTATACAACAACAAACAAAAAATAAGTTAAATTTAGATTATAAAAAATAATTTCGTTTTTATTTTCTTACTTTAATACCAGCAACTTCTGATGTAACTTGACAATCCATTATTTCACAAGAATTGTCACATGAATGATTTAATGAAGATTGAAGAGGAAAAAGACCACCAAATACTTGATCAATAGGTTCACCTTTTAAATAAGTTTGTAATATATGATATAAACCAGTTCTATCACGTTGTCGAATATTTGATAAAAAACGAGTATATAGTGTTGTTGCATATGTTGGTGATGAAAAACTTTGAGCATTACACGCTATTTGATAAAAACGATATGTAAATTCTTGCTCATTAAATTCATAATGTATTGGCATTGATGAATGATTAAATATATTTTTCATTATTTTGAGCATACGTGGAATTGTACGAATATATGTTGGATCACCTGATGATATGAATTCAGAAAAAATTTCTTTTGCTTGCTCAAATGGACCATCATCTGTTTGTTGAAGTTTATGTGAATAATTTAAATCAATACTATTTTGAGTAGTTCCATCTTAAACAAGAGAATTCAATCCGTAGTTAATAATACAATATGTTTAATCGAGTTATAGCTTAGATTGTCCTATTTAATATTTTCAATAGAAATGTTTACGCATCAAATTAAATAAACAAAATTCGAAGACAATTTGTGATGACAAAATTAAGCTTGTAAATATTTTATAGTTTGTATTTCATAATAGAACTTTTTACATAGAAAATAGGTAAGAGATCTTTCTTCGATAGGATAAGTGGATCAATTGAAATTGTGAGAATTTTAGAAAAAGAATATAAAATCTCATCTATAATAAATAAGACAAAAAGAAAACTCATCTTGTGAAATTAATCTTTTTCAAAGTAGAATACGAAAAATTGAAATTTAAATAATTTTAAAAACAGAATTGACTATAAAGTTATGCTTGGAAGTAAAATGAAGCTAAATATTATGTTCATTTCACGTCTTGTATTATGTCAACAGACGACGTACAATTCTCAACAAATTTTATGAAAATATATTTTGAATACTATCAGCTATATTATATACTGAAACTAGAGACTTGAGGAGTTAAACTTTTTAAACTTCGAAAATTTTTCTTCCCACAAATTATCGATAGCTTACGTGTTCAACAATATTATTTAATTTCAAATTAGTGTACTATCACGAATCATATTTGATTAAAGAGTACTGTAAGCGAATAAAAAGACATGTTAGATGTTAGACAAACAAAAAACAATTGAAATTGATTAAATTTTTTTGAATATCTTTGTGCATTCAAGATACTTGAGATGATTACCAAGGTCTTGTCATGCAAAGAACCTTTAAATGTAATATGCGATACAAAAGTCTTGGAAAATATGTCAAACTCTGTTATACCACGTTGCCGACTTCTAAATTAATAAAATATTCTTTTGTTAGGAAGAGCAATATTTGAACTACAAATTTCGTACCAGATATATTTTTCAAAGACGAACCCGACGAAGAGTAAATGGTTGCTCTTACTATTTGGCCGTTTTTTGCAACAATAAAAAGTGTTTTTCTGAATCATTTTCTCTACTAAATTTCTATGACTTCAAATATTTTCAAATAAATTTTGCCGACGCTGATACTGATAGTTTTTAATGCACTATATTTTGGTGTATTTTTTGTTGCAATTAATTCATCCGTGTAATTCAAAATAATTTACAAATGCAGATTTTTCAAGTTGCAAGAGACTTTTTTTAAAGGTGTGTCGTTTTTGGCTTTTCTTACTCGTTAGGTTTGTTCTGGAAAAATATGTCTGTGTATAAAATTTGCAGTTCAAACATTTCCATGTCTAACAAAAAATATTTTCTTGATTTAGAAGTTGGCAATATGGTATAGCAGAGTTTGACATTTTTCCAAAGATGTTTGCATCGCATATAAGTAAGAAAATAAGACAATTCTGTTAAATTGGTACCATAAAAAATAAGCCACAAAATACAACTGACATTTGAAATAATTTCCACCAAGTTATGCCGCATAAGAAAAACAGAAAAAAAAGGTTTTTCGGAGTTCGGAATCTCGTCTACGTCTGTAACTGAAACCGGCCAATGATGCTGATTTCTTAAGTAATGAAATGAGGAACCGCATTATTAGCAGTGCAAAAAGAAGGAAACTTGAAGTAGAATATCGTGGATTTTAACAAATAATGAAGCATAAATAAAAGACGCTTCTTAAGAGAAAAAATGCAAAGTTTGTTTCTCATGTATTATACAAGCATTAAAGTTCTACAATTTAATCGTACAAAACTTTGTTTGAAATACTGAACACAATATTTCAGTATCTTGCCAAAACTATACAAGTCAATAGAGATCTAAATTTGAACCATTGATTATGAGGGTTTTTCTTAGTTGATGAATATTTTCTCTATTGTCTATGATACATATTTTGGTAAATTTTTGAAATAAAATCTTACTTTGAACAGAATTAACAAAATTAAGAATAATCATTGCTATTAATTTAGCCAATATCATTGGTGAAAATATTGAATTCCATGTTTCACGTACAATTATTTGTCTATTAGCACAAAATTGATAAAGTTCAGTAGTTTCAGGATTATTTGATGGACATAAAATCTTATGATAACTATTCCATGCTTGATTACGACATGTTTCTGAACAATATAATTCAAATGGACAATATGGACATGGCATAGGTGTGATATGTGGCCAATATTCTTCTATTTGTCGTTGTAATTTTTCTGGCATTCGTGACCATGTTGTATCAAAATAAATGGCTGGAGTTAGTAAAGATGTTGTACATGTCGCACATGCTGGTGATATTGATAAAGTATCAACTGTTTGCGCATGAACAAGAGGAATGTCGGTAAAAATGTCTTCGTTTGGTGATATTACACGTTTAGCATAAATACCTATGCAAAACAATAAAAAAAATATTCTATTGATAAATATAAGATGAATAATTAAAACAAACCTTTGCCTCTTTCATCAACACGTATATCAATCATTGGATATTGTGTTAGATAAGTATTAAAAAAACGAGCAATACGTGCTTGTTCAAGTTTAACATTTAAATCACTATTATTTGAACGACAAACATGAATAGCTTCTGAAAACCATCGTTGTGCAACAGCAAAAACACGTAATTTTTTACAACATTCACCACCAATTTTCCATATGTCAAGTGGACGTTGTTCTTGAGGAATTTTCCAACATTCATAAAAAGCTTCTTCAAGACTTCCAGCTGCAAATTTTTGTTTAGCACGTTCTATTTTAAAATCAAGTGTTGCTGTTGATAATGTTGATGATGATGATGCTGATATCATTTCTTTTTTTGGTGATGATCGATCATTTGGGGAATCTTCATCTAAGTGAAGAATTGTTCGACGTATTTGCATTATCAAATCCGATTCTTCTTTTGATGTACATCCATTTAATTGATTTATTGTCGATGGTAAATTGTTGTTGACCATTGCTCCAAGCATTCGATCATCATTGATATCGTTTCCACTCATTATCAGTCTTGCTTTCGTTAGATAGTTACGAAGAGAATATCACCTAGATGTATACTGCTATATCTGTCTGCCGTTTTTGTCTTTTTCTTTGTTCTTTTTTTTTTTTCTTCTCCTTCTCTCTATTGGTGATAGTGCTGCGAATCGTTGCCTATTTCATATGCATAGAACGGATAATCATTGAGTTCGTCTTGTGCTTTCTGGATAGTTATACGTTTGTACTAAGATCAAGGAAAATACGGAATAAACATGCCCCTGTAGGAAACATGTACTTTTTTTTTCTTTTCTTTCTGTCTATTGATATTGCATTACGCGAGAATAGTATAGCTATGACCAAATAAAGAAAAGAAAACATATGTTGCTCAAATCGGTTAGACATAACCGGAAAAAAATATTCTATATCGTTCTATAGTGAATTATTGTCGGATTTATGAATAGGGTTTCTTTTTTTTTTTTTTATTGATAAGCGTTATTCGCTGAAAACCATTAATATAAAAAAAACAACACGAATTAAATTGAGTCGTTAGTTAATTTTTGTATGCTCTTTCTTTTTTTGGACAATCAGGTTGTTGATTTGGATGGGCTGCTTTAAATGCATCTATAGCATTTAGTTTTTCTTCAAAATTTGTAATAAATGAGTATTTAGTTAAGTCAATTCTCCATCTAAATAAAAAATATGAGAATATAATAAAATAAACAAATAAATTTATACAGTCGTGCACGATAAAGTTGTAGTATAAGACAACAATTGACTATTCAAACTTGATTACCTACACAATATTATCCTGCAGATTCCTCTAGAGCTTTATCCACAGCTAGAATAAAGAGATTATATCCAAGTATCAATCAATCATTCACTTGCCGTCAAGGTCAATTTTGATATAATGACGTGCCCATTCTACTTTCTTCTCATCACCAATACGTTTTAAAACACTTAGATTTTGCAAAGGCTTTTTTTAACAAATAAACATCAATCACAATGATGAATCTTAGGAAAAAAATTAATAAGAATTACATAAATACCAGATGTATTAATTTCACTAATCATATGAGCCTACAAATCGATATATTATATGCATTATTAAATAATAATAATAATATGCTCTTTTTTTAGAAGTTTTTGTTTTATCTAACCTGATAACGTTGATATGGATTATCTTGTAAGAGTCTTGGCATTTTATGTATTTCATCAAGATACTCGATGATAGGAAGCTGCACAGAAAAAAACCCATATAAAACAATAATATTGTTTGTAGACTAGCAATTACCGTACCAATTGTGTAAGCTTTTTTCCATCGATAAGAAGTACTTGAATAAAGACGATTATCTTTATATTAACAATAGAAAAAAAACGATTTAAAACTATTTTTCTTTCGTGAAAAAAAAACTTATTTGACAAGCCTATAACTGATCATCAATTTTCTTGAATTAACTGTTGATAATATGATTTTAATTAGGAAGTAAACAAATTTTTTATCGTGCTCAGAAAAGTATTCATAGATCTTCTCGCAATTCAATAATATTTTGATAGTAACGAACAAAATGTATAGCTTTATTTTTGTGAAACATGATCTGAAATGAATGCTGAAATATATTGAATAGAAATTTGTACCCCGCTCCAGATGGACCGAGATAGACACTAGTTAAAGACCGTATGAATCAATAATGTCTAACTGTTGTGTATGAGCTACTTCCTGATTGCAGTTGTGAAAGATTAAATGACTCGGATTCTTGTTGAAAATACATTCAACATGTACGTAAAGTAGAGTCAACATTTCGTGCAGCTGATAAAATCGCCGAGGAAGAAATCGAATTTAGTCTGATTGATTCTGAATCAGACTACGATTAAGATGCCGATGATAATATCGAAGATGTAGACAATGATAAAATGTGAAAATTTTGCATTTGTTCTGGATTTTTTGCATTTTTCTGTTTCATTTCAATAAAAGATGTTTTTTTTTTGCGACACTCATAAAAAAACTATAGGATATTCTCCTTAAAACTGCATCACAGTACTAAGCAGGAGTAAAAGAAATACGGGACAGACGAGGCATCAAGGAAGGGATTTTGAAGAATAGATTTACTACAAATCAAAATAAACTCTTTTTTTTTCGTCGCAGGCATGATATGAATTTTGCTATTGTTTTATTTCGGTTCTCCAAAAAGAAAAACAATTGACAGTTTATTTGATTATTCATGGTTATGAAAGAAATATGTTTTCGAAACTTTTCATAAGTGAAAAGGATGATACCATTAGATTCAATACCGTCAAAAACATGTATTTTCATGCATAATTTGCGTTTATTCCGCATGGAAAAACGCATGTTTTTCAATATGTTAAAAAATCTGTAACGCTTCGAGGAAAAGTTCAAATGATGTGAAAATTATGTGGTAGATAGAGTAAGAACCGGGCTACATTTTGGTATAATTTGAGCCTATGTTGCTACTGAGAGCATGGAGGTTATGTATCAAAAAAGATATTCATCTGAAAAGATAGGTAGAGACATTTTCTAATTTCTGTCCCTTGTGTGTGAGTAGGGGCTCCTCGCGTCGCTCTATTCAATGGTGAAAATCCCCGCTCGATAGCTAATACCATTGCCAAGTTATTCAAAAAATTGTGGCTGGCATTTTTAAAAAATCCGACATTAGTAAGATCAACTACATCGCTTATCATATTTTAAACTTGCAAGGATAGCGCCAACAGCCTTCTATATTGCTTTTCGTAATATAGATGTAAGTAATAGTTTAAACATGTAGTATATATTTATTATCTTCTCATGTATTGTCTTTTTACTATTCAAAATATTAACAAAAAAAAAGCAATTTTTCTTAATATAAAGCCAGTTTCTGGAACGAAACCTATAGATTTTTTCAATAGAGATGTGCAGAGTTGCCCTATCCTATCCTACAGAGTAAGATAGAGTAATTGTTAGAAAAATTTTCTCAGTCAGAGTATAGAGTACAAAAAAAACTTCCCTTGTACACTTGTAGTGTGATGCTATTTATTATTTTTAGTCTTTCAACTAGGTTAATATGAAGAAGAAGTGAAATAAAAACTTAATAGAGTAGAAGAGAATAGGAATTAGAAAACTTTTCTCAGACAGTACACGATATGAAAAAGCTTACCTTGTACACAGACATGCAGAATATATATGTGCGGGTCAAAGCGCGTTTGAGAAAATTTCAGAAAAATATTAACTGTAGAAGAATTTTATGTAGAAATTCGAAGTTAGAAATGTTTCACATGTAGAAATAAGCTTTGTACACAGCTTTTGTAATTTATTAAGCTGCACAATCCGTTATTTTTTGGAATAATATCTACTCCTAGTTAAGTGAACCAATTTTTCTCTCACTTTCTTTGAATCTGCAAGTGAAAAAGAGAAACCACGTTTTTCTTTATTTCGATAGTAGGGAAAATTTTTCGTTTTAGTGGCAGATTCTAGACAGCTCTATTTTTCAATAATATCAATATTCGAAACAATGTGAGTTACGATACTAAAATGGCATAGCAAACTTCCAAATCATGGCTTATTGACGTGATTGAAAGGTCAAACGACTATAGAAAGACACATGTTTCATGTTATGTATTCGGAACGCATTCCGAATACATAGCTCGGAACATGTTCGTTCACTGACATACAGCGTGTTCGTGGCTTTTTTCCAAATTCTCTTCGAGTGTTCGCACATAGGGATGTGCGGTGTCAGTGACATCACTGAAAAAACCGACACTTTTCACACCGACAGTGACGCTCAGTGCACACTGATAGGCTCAGTGTCACTGGTGATTCAGGCACAGTGAGTTCAGTGAGATCTCGTAATTAGTTGTTACCAGCATTGTATAGCAATTAATTACGAGATATCACTGAGCTTACTGTGCCTGATTCACCAGTGGCACTGAACCTATCAGTGTGTACGGAGCGTCACTGTCGGCGTCAATCGGTGTTCAGTAATCTCACACCGCACATCCCTAGCGATTCGCACATCTTCTCCCGTTCAAAACGCGTTTTCATTCCGTTCGTCTTGACCTTGGCAGCTACTGTTCGAAGTAGGCTCCATGATGTTCAATATAAAGTTTCATTCTTTGCATGCGCTTCTGAAGTGTCTTTTGGTATTCACGAGCAAATATTGAATCACCTATGCTTTATATCGTTCTTTTGATTTAATTTTGCCTTGATTAATCCAAGTTTTATCTTCCGTGACTATATCACACAGTCTCGAAGTGTCACTTTCAAATTTCTGTAAATTTTCAATAAAAATATCAGTACATTGTTGTGGTCACTCTTGAATAAATTCATGAGGCACCCATCTTGACGATACTTTTCATTAAACCAAGTTGTTGCTTGAGAATAGTATTTACATTACCATACGATATATACAAGATGGTAACAATATAATCAATACTAATCTGCGAACCACCATTCATCAGACCTTTAATAGCACGAATATTCTGTTGAGGAATAACGGCTATGAGATGATCACTTCGAGAATCATCTTGCAATGTCTCTTATCCACTTGAAAATCGATGAACCCAATCAACAACTGTACGAAATGAAACATAACCTTGTCCATAAGTAGTATTTAATTTATCATACATTTGTGTTGGTTGAAGACATAATCACAAACGAGGCTATATATATATATGTACACGTATATGAGCGTATACACAGTTTTTCTATTTGAAAATAGAGGTGACAAGAAAATTAACTAAGAATTTGCCACAACAGATACTTCATCTTGGTAATTTAATATACAACAAATGTCTCTAGTAGAATAGGTCAGCATCAGAAATAAAAGTAAAGAGTATGAAATTTTAGACTACTACTGAAAGAACTTAATGACTACCCATGTTGTCGATTTTTCATCAAAATCGATAATTTGAAGGATTTATTCCTTTTTTATCAAGTATTTTATAATTTATCTATTAAATTATTATTTTCAGTCTTGAAGAGATCGATTTCAACTTAAGAAAGTTGATTGTAATATGTCACAGCATATTGTGTCAAATGGTACCACACTGTTTCCTATTTGCTTAATTATTTTAGCTAATGTCTATTTTTATGGTGCCATCTGTAATAAATAATAAAACTCGAAAACTAAACGAAAACAGTTGATGTGGCTAGAGTGCGATCACAGCAGTGAGAGGACACGATTTCGTCCAACATCTAACATTTTTCTACAATTTATAAAATATACATTCACTGAAATACAAAAAAACATAAGCAGAAAAATCGCGTTTTTCGAGTGCTCTGAGCTACATGTGTACCCTATGTCATAAAAGAACATTAAATATCACGTTATTTCATGATTACAGAATTATTAGTCTGTTAGTTTTATAAATAATATTTCTTTACTTACTGGAATTTCTCCCTTTGGATTGATCGTTTTATATTCATCAGTTGACTATAAAAACAAAACTAAGACACAATTTATTGCTTGAAATTGAAACTCAACAGCTTCTCCTTTGAGTAAATCAATCGGTTGAATTTGATAAATAATATTTTTCAAATTTAAAGCTAATGATATTTACAAAGACCATCCCAATCAAATATTCCTACTTCTTAATAAACTTACCAATTCGAACTCGATATGAACATGAACTGCGAAAATATGAATATAATATAGGCTATTATAGAAAAACGATCAAAGTTTTATTTATTCCTTTCATAAATCATTCATTTACTTTCACGCCTGTACTCATCAAGTTTATTAAATCTAGAGTAAACGAAAGTTGATTTCTTTTCTTTTTTTTTAAACTCGTATTTGTTTATTTAGACGAGGTAAAACATTATTATTGAATTTAAATCGTCTTGCTGTTCTTCGTACATTATGGTTAACAGCAACATTTGATTATCAAATTCAAAATTGGTTATCATACACGTCGTTGATGATTAGTCATTTTGATGTATNGTAATATCATTGGGATATCTGCAGATAATTGTTCGGTTGATACACATTTAGCTGCAAGACCTGATAGAAATGCAAGTAAACAACTTTCATCAGAACTTCGTTTCTAAAAATCCAATAAAATTATATATAAATAGTTTATATTTATATTTGATTTTCTTTTCGTACTAATTTTGGACGCAATGGATTTAACATTGATTGATGAAGTCGTTCGATTGGTGTTAAATTTTGCTTATTATCTTCTATATTTGAATAATCATTATAATCAAATAATGGAATTAACGCATTAGCTGTTTGGCGACAAAGTGGACAACGAAAATTTGTATTAAATGGAAGAAGATTAGTAACAGATACTTCTGCAGCTTCTTGATTCTAAGATAAAACAAAATCTTAAAGAATTATCTTTATAAAATATTAAGATTTAACTTTTGTGTTCAAACTGATCGAAAATTTCATCAAAAGAGCAAGTGGCGAGTGAACATCTAACTGGGACATAACATTTCTGTTACCGAAAAACAGATTATCGAAATCTGTAGAAAAAAAACTCTGATAGATATCTGCTTATTTCAGTAATTAATATAACTGTACTGAATATTTTTTGATAGTTCTGAAAGATTGCTATTCTAAATAAAAGATCTTAACGACCATCCTCTTTTAGTTGCAGTCTTTGTTTCAGTTGAAAACAAAACTTTGATCTCAATACTATAACTCACAACAAAAGTCCTTCAACTGATAAATTACTTTTGAGGCGAGACTATATGCATTATGTAGATCCAAATGAGCTATGAGTACCATGAAAAGAGTTCGTACCCTTAGCTCATTACGATGAAGGTACTGTATTTTTATGACCTTTTCTAAAGGCATGTCGTGGTTCAGAAAAAACTGATTTTCGAATCTTGACTTGTGTCTTTAGATAGAGACAGGCCCTAATGACAATATTTTATTCTAAACGTTTGAAGTCTTTTGATTTGCTTCTATCCTGATATAAGTACATCAAATCTGTCGGTTTGTAGGAGCGATGTAAAAGATACACTATTACCATAGCTGTATCTTGGGATTGAGAAACAGTGACGCGATCTGAAACATTCAAAAAACACTATTCTCATTAACCCTTTGAGGGCTGACTTTTTTTCTAGAAAAAAGTTGTATTTTCACTTTAAAAAAATCACTCATAGTTGAAAATTAATAATCAGGATTTTTCATCCAGACTCATTGCAAAAAATGCACGGTGTCTATATTGAAACAAGGGAAACAAAACGTACATCCAAGAAGTATAATGAACAACTATTCAATAGCATATGAGAATTAAAGCTAGCAGAAAAAACTAAAAATATAATCAGTATGGAATTCTTCGAAACAACTAACAATACAAACACTTGCAGTGCAATCTTTACATATATAGCGTGAATTAGTCCTCTTTCTAGGAATATGACTAGTGTCTGTATACATACAACACAAGTTTTCTTAGGAGTTTTTCTATTTGTTGTGTAAGATACAGACACAGGATGTGTTTAGCAGTAAGTCTAGCTGGTTGATGAATTAATGTAGAGCTATTTCATAACGTCTATATGTGTATTACGCATGTTTAAATAAAAAATCCATACTAAAAGAAAAACAGTTTTAGTGTATTTGAAGACTTTTACCCTTAATCAAATATCAAAACCGTATATATACGTTACCATATGCTTTAGAATTTTATTTTGCCAAACACTTTTTTTTTTTATTATAAAAATACGCCATATTTATAATGTATCTATATGATTCTATGACTATAAATGCAATCATGGACTCCATACTAACCAATAACAGTGTCTTAAGATAGATGACTTGGCATGTACAATGAACGATGAAGGACTACACGGAGCTAAATATATATACTTAAACTATTCCATAATACCTATTTGTATACCAAGTTTATTGCCAACAAAAAAACCGTACGAAAAAAATCAGTTTTACTGCATCTAAGAGTTTTTTTTCCTTAGTCACGCTTCAAAACCGTATATATACGGGTACCGTCCGCAAAGTGTTAATGCCTATCACTATTTGAAATTTTAAGTCGAAATTCAAAAATCAATTTTTATGCTACCTCAGCATTCATTTAGAAATACCGTAAAAATACTTGATATCCGCAACGATATGCTAAGGACAAGAAGTTCTTTCAGAATATTCATAGCTCATTTAGGCCTACATAATGCACATAATCTTGACTCAGAAGTAATTTATTAATTGGAGAACCTTCCCCATAGGCTGATCCTAAAGAGTTTTAGGGATATCGACTATCTTTGCGAGGTTTCTGAAGAACGACTCATCAGAAAAGTATGAAATTTTCAGGACAGATGGATCCTGACGAATAAAGTAAAAGTTGTCATACACCCATAGTTTCTGGAAGCTGTCTTCTACGAGATATAAGGATCACAATGACCTCGGCTTTCATCCCCATTCTGCCGAGATACTATGTTCGATCGAGCTGAACATCTTATTTTACACGCACTAGACACTATTTTAGAAAAACATACGCTTTTTTGAATGGTTTTTTTTGTAAGAGTAAGCAAAAATCAACAGAAGAATATTTTCTGAAACAAAAAAAAGGATCCATCCCACATAGTGCATAGTATTTGTAAAAAACAGTTTTAGCTCGATCGAACAGACTAGGTCGAAGAAATAAGCATTTCTGTAGTTTTTCCTTATGGAGCTGTCGATTTGAGAAGAACGCGAAGCAAGGTAAAGTTTTCGCTAATTAGATTTCTCGAATTTTTTAACATTTGAAGACAATTTTTGCATACTCAGTTGATAGATACTACTTTAGACAATACAATGGCGACAAAACAAAAACAACTTTGGATCACAAAACGGAGGATACTTTTCAATTAAGTTCTTAACTAAAGTTTCCTCAGCTACAATTCCCAAAGTTTAACTATTTCAATTGATCTTAAAATAGTTCATGATACAAATTACATCAAGTAAGCATATATTCAATTCATATTCACATTCTTTATACATCTCATGTGAAACACCGTTGCCAATATATACAAAAAAAGTCAGAGCATTATTCTGCATTCTGCACATCTTGATAGATACTAATGCTTGTCATTTATGATAAGAAGATTCACAATATATCTCAGACTATAATATTGTTTGTATCCTGGGGTAGAGGCTTTGTTGAAATAGTTTTAATTACAGTGGAAGTAATTCTATTAGACAGCGAATGTATCTAAATCATAAATATCGATTTCCAAATAAAACAACACACAAACCGGATGTAATGCTTTAAGATAGGATGAAAGACAATCAACATGAATTGAATGGCCACATGATTGAATCAGTAATGAATGAAGATGATGATCATTTTGACAATAATTTGCAATATACTATAATAATTAAAATAAATGCTCAATCAAAAAAAAAATGCAATATATTTTTAATCTCTTTTACTGGATGTCCGCTAATTTGTGTTAAACTTTGTTTAGTTATATGTAAATATGTTTCAAGAGTAATTTTATTTGAATTGTATGATAATATGTTTTGTTCATATTCATCTAATTGAGCAAATTCAAGGCTAGGTACTGAAATAATATACATAGAAATATATGTTTTGTTTCTTTAATTTATTCTTACAAAGTGATAAACATGATGTTCCAATAAGACCTATTGGTGATTGACTATCACTTTTGGTTATGCGACAAACACAACATTCATAATCAACTGCATTTTCTATATGAGTTGATATGTTTGAAGCTGCTGCTGCTGCTGTATTTATTGTTTGTTCAATTGACAAATGTTCATTATATAACGATGGTGAGGTACCAACAGACATTGAAGTCTCATCTGGGTTTTGTTGACTTATAAATTTCTTTTGTGATTCTGCTATTTCAGCAAGTAATTTTAGTTGACGATTTTTTGCTCGTTGTCGTCTAATCGAATTGAAAATAAAAATATGAAGCAAAAATAAATTATTGAAGAGATCGTCTCAACAAATTTTGTTTTACGACCACCCAATCTTGATAAAATTCCAGAGAACACGTATCTCGAGTTAAGCACCTCATAACAGAGATGGCTTGATCGGAGGCAGAAGTTGTGGATGCGATATCACCCAGTCAAGAAAATTTTTTTTCCAGTGCAGCAGAAATTTTTCGCGCGTTCTCTTAGAAAAAAAGTTAACACTCTTCCACCAATGTTGACTGTTTCGAATTAGTCGGGCTTTACAGTAAAAGTTTCAACTCAATACATTGAGTCTATAAAGAGATAGCTTAAGATTATAGGTCAAAATATAGGCGTACATGCGTTCCAAGTTTATCCATCAATTTCAAATGTTAGAAAGTTCTGATTGATTTTAACATGTAGCCAAGGCGTGGCATTAAAGTTGAACAGAGCTGAGCACAGGACAGAACAGAGAAAAATGTCCTTTGCCTAGCTCTGGTCCAGTATGATTAGGTTTTAGTAAACGTTAAGGAGAAAATCGAAAATCTCAGCTCAGTGAAGGTTGTAGATCTAAATTTCGCCTTCATTTCGGCAGAGTGTGGATCTGACTCTAGGGCTAGGTCTACGTGTCGATTTTCTTTTCACCTACACCCACATCTTTGAGTAATTTTCCATAGATCACTGATTTAAGTGAGTCAAATAAATGCGTGTAGGATGTGAGTGTGGGTCAAAGGGGAAAAAGCAAAAAAATCCTTATTTCAAAGGTATACCGAAGCCATCTTCTAGAACTGTTTCCATATTTCAAGTCTGCTATCAACGTATGTGGAGCGTATTAGTTTGAGTTCAATATATATAAGCATACCTGTCCAGATAGACTTATATAAATTGAACTCAAGCTAATAGGAACCGAACACATGTCGATAGTAGACTTGAAAAAACTAAACAATTCTAAAGTATAGCTTTGAGATATCCTTGAAGTGTGGAATTTTCTTGCTTGGTGTGGGTGAAGGTATGTGCCTGGGTCCGAATGCGGGTGCGAGTTTTAGTCTTTAGTTCACTCACATCTTCATTCTCTTATGTGTTTTCTCATGTTCAAGTGTTGTATTCACTTACAATACTTAGTGATGCATGATAGCCATGCCAATCATTGCCAAAAGTCAACAAAGAAGCTTGAAAGACTTTAAAAATCAAAGATGTTAGAAAAAAAAGTTATTTTCTTCAGTATGAGGATTCATTATAAAATCAATAAACTACAGTGCATTCAAGTGTAGATACATTGCTCTATCTAATAAGCTTTAAGTCGTAGAATTGTTAAATTTTACTAAAATTGATTTTTTTCTGAGAGAGAGAGAGAGAGAAGGAGTCATTAGTAATCAATTACTTTTGTTCAGCTGTTAATTCAGATGATTTTGGAATGGCAGGCTGTTGTTGTTGATATTGAGCTTTAAGTTTTTCAATTTCTTGTTTAATTGCTATACGACATTGTTCATTCATTTGTGATGATAAAGAAAATATATTTGAAATAAAATAATAACTATCACCAATACGTGACATATTCTTCGGTTTATCTGGTTTTTGTTGAAGAGAGATATTGTTTATTAAATCAACAAAATCCTGTGAACGTTGTTTATGAAGAATTTTTAATAGAAGTGTAATAATACTTTCAGTTTCAGATTCATTTTTTAATGGATTATGTGATATGAAGACACGAGTACGAATATTTGTAAAAATATTGTTTGTTTTAAATGCAACGATCTCCTCCTAAATAATACATTAAATTTGAAAATTTTCTTTTTAATATAAAAGTTGTTTAAAAAATTTAATAAATTAATTCAACTGGTCTGACCGGTTACAATTCTATTATGTATCTCATCAAATATTTGGAAATATCTTATTCGATTGGCACATATTTAACCGGCCATAATCTACAGATCAATACTTATATGAACGAAATCCAAATAAGTTTAAAAAAGATTACATAATTCCAGTTCTAGTCAACTATAGAATCTATCTTTATGCAACAGTTTTCATCTAACGAAGAAAATTCTCCAAATATGATTCGTCAATCCAGCTGATATTTTACTCATAAGTAGGTCGTGGCGAGAATGAAAAAATAGCATCCATAACTTATAGTAGGAGGTGATGCCCAGCGACACATTTATTCACCTGATATCTTCCCTACAGCTGATACTAGTTGTAGCTCTAGACAGAAGACCGGTCTGATGCAAAGTTTTTGTGTTCAATCGCTTAAGCTCTACGTACACACCTGACTAACCACATACTAATTGCAGGAGCAAATATATGTCACAACTCACGAGGGAGCCTCTTCAGCTGTCTCCCTCCAATTTCAATGATTTTTTGCCTATACGTACTGCATAGTGTTGTAATAAAAATCCTAAAACGATTTGAGTTCTTATTGGTATTTGACCAAGATATCGAGTGTTTAATGCGTCTTTTTTCTAGAAATACCAGGTTTTGGAAAAACTCGTCTTTTCGAATTTTGATCCAAAAATTTTACGTATATAGAGAATTCAACTAGACGATTAGTTTCCATGAAATGATTCACACGTTAATCAACCTGAAGTTTTTGTTCATAACTGGATCTCGCAAACCTTAGAACGCTCTGAGAATTTCAGCCTAAAGAGATGTGTTCTTCTTGAGATATTGAATATCCAAAAACAAATTACGCGTCACCAGGAAACATAAAAAATTTCATGTTTTCGTGATTCAATATCTCAAGAACAACACATCTTTTTTGCGCTGAAATTTTTAGAGAATGCTAAGACTCACCAGACCTACCTATGCGTAAAATTCAGTAAACTTATAATAATTTGGAAAGAACAGCGCAATAGGACAAATCCTTATAGACTTCTACTAGTCTCGCTAGTCTCTTCTTATAGACCAAATATCAGTTTCATTGGCGAGTCACACTTGTGGATTTCCCCACATCAGATAATAAATTTCAATCATTAAAATTTAATTATTGTAAGAAAATTTCGAGCAGGAACTACATATTATACTAAGTAAAATATTGCTATTGTTTCTATTGAATACGAATTAAAAGAAATCTCATGCAAGAATTTAAATCCCTTTTCAAAGTAAATCTTTATACTTACTGAATTTTCATCAACTGCCATTGGTGAAATATCTTCACCCTACAAAATGAAAAACAAAAACATTTTTGTTTTACTTTTGAGTTTTCATCGTAAACCTACGTTAAGAAGTGATAGTTCTAGAAGATATACTGTAAAATATAGAATATTTTCCGTAATAGATTTGTCATTTAAATACTAAACAAAACTAATAATACAAAGAAATTTTTCGTTTTTTTTCTTCGAAAACTTACAGCATTTAAACATAAAAATAGAAAATGATGTAATACACCTGATCGTAATATATTTTGAACATTTGACATTTGTGAATGGTAATAGGTTGGTATACGAAATGGTGGCCAAATAGGATAATCTGATTTAAATAAACCTTCATGTTTAACACTAATAAATATAAAATAAAATAAAATAAACATTCATTTTTAATAAATTTACTAGTTTGTAAAACGTTCAAGAGAATTTTGAAAATTTGCACGCTTTGTACAACGCATTATTACATGTAAAGGATCGTATTCAGTTTTGAATAATGCACCTTGAAATTAAAGTAATAATGAAAGAAAAAGGTAAACGAAATTCTATTAAATTACCTTTAATTGTATATTTGCCTTGTTGTAAATGACCCATTAATTCAACAGAAGGTGTTTGAAAATCCGATACCTAGAATATTTTAATTCTTAAAGTTTGAGAATTCTTTGTTTTTTTCTGACATAAAATAAAATATTTACTTAGTTTTTTGGTCATTTAAAAGCAGCTAATATTGTTTCAAGTTTTTCTTAAATTACCCTTTTCATAAAAAAAGTACAGAAATGCTCTTGTTTCTTCGGCTTAGTATGTTCGATCGAGCTGAAATTCTTTTTTTACAAATACTATACACCATTTGGGATGCACACTTTTTTGTTTTCAAAAAAAGTTGTTTTGTTTTTAACCTCTATTCAAGAGCAGATGCATTTTTTTTAGGATACCTGTGATGTTAAGGCTTTTTTTATTCGACGGACCAAAAAGATTAAAAGAGGTTCACCCTAAACAGTGTCTAGTGCCTGTGGAAAAATGTTCAGCTCAATCGAATATAGCATCTCGGTGAAATGAGGGTAAAAAAATTGCAGCCACTTTTCGCCATTGTGACACTAATACCTCAAAGACGACAACCGGGAACTTCGAATCTATGACAACTTTTGCTCTACTCGTCAAGATCTACCTATCCTGAAAATTTTAAACTTTTCTGATGAGCCGTTTTTCAGAAACCTAGGTAAAGGGTTCCCTTTAAACACAAATTTTTAAAAAAGCGACTGTTTTTGCCAATGTCGATTTCCATAGAAAGTAGGTCTTTAATGGAAACATATATATGCTATGTTGCTTTGTACAGACGTAGTTTTGGACTTTTTCACAAAATTCACTGATAGTTCTTCAATCTGATGCCAGAAGAAAACTATGAACACACATTCGAAAATAGAAAAAAACTCTGACTCTAATCATTTGTCTTTTATTCGCTGAAAAATGAGCGAATATTTTGTATCAAGACTTTCACGTCATAGGTTATTTTGGCTTGCATCATGCAATTTATACGCTTCGAAGTTACAATCATATAATAAAGATCGAATATGAGATATCGAAGAGAATTACTTATAAGTTAAAACAATTCTACAGTTAAGCCTGACTTATTGATAAAAGTCTTAGTTATCTTTGACATAAAACTGTGCATATATCTGACCACAAATAAACATATCTATTGATAAGATCAACTTTCTCTCACCGTAGTTCGAAATATACTAACTGGAGATGTGTCAGACTAAGTTTTTTTAGTCCTAATAGCATAGGTGTCTCCAGGTCGCCAGCATTTGATAGGATCAATGACTCAAAAGCCCAATTAGATAATTTTTTATTAAGATTGAAAAGCTTTCGAAAGGGGAAAGTCGAGCGCTTTTTCGTGTATTACTGAGCAAAAAAAAATGAATAAAATGCTGAAACTTTACTTTGGAAAGGATGAAAATTTCTCATAATTGAAGAGAAATGTGTTCCCGCTCGAAAAATTCCTGCCTGTGTGGTTTTGGTCATAATCCTGTTAAATCTGGATTGATCTTGTCTTAAAGAAAACCATTTTTAGCATTTATTTGCAGTAAATTTTTAAATAAAGAAATGGTCTTAAATACTCATGTTTTGATTATTTCCGTCGGCGAATAGAAGTTTTTCTTATGGTAGAATTTGATGTTAGAGATTTATGATCTACTTATTTCTATAATGGAAACATGAAACATACTTGTTCAAGAATAATTTCAATTTCTTTTCTATTAGCACTCAATGGTGATGGATCAGGAACATTTTCTTCCACTTCACTATACAATCGATCAGCAATAGCTAATGTTGTTATAATTTCAGCTCGAATTTGTTTCGTTTCTCGAGCAGCTAAAAATAAATTCCATATAACAATTATCCTTAGACGAAAGAAATTTTTTTTTTCTTAATACCAATATTTGGTTGAAAACCAACAATTGCACATAATGTTATTAAAGCACTTTCTAACATTGCTATTCGTTGTGTTGAATCTAAACTTGATTTAGTTGCTGAATGAAATAACCATGAAAAAACATGAAATCTAATCAAATAAACATTTATTTTGATGTAATATATACATATATTCAATTTTTACCTTGTAAGTAAGTTTTCCATGAATACATTTGGTTCAATATAACATGAGAGTAACTATTATAAAACAAAAGACAATAACAGAAGAAAAAAACATCGAATAAAAATTTCAATAGTACTTGTAAAAGAAATAAATCTGCATCATGCATTGATGATGAAAAAGCACTTTTTGCATAAGTTTTAGCTTGAATTGTTACTTGCTGTCCATTTCGCAGCCAAATATTCGATAGAACTTCATAATATCCACACTTAATAATAACGAAACAATACCTCAAATTTATTTATTTATTTTTTGTCATCTTTTCTACTTACAATCGTTCTCAATGGATAAAACATTAAATTTAGAAGGCTATTTAAATCATTAGCAGGTAAAAATAATGATGCATCAATATTATATTGATATATAGCATTATAAGCAAATACAGATAAATAACGATGTAATGGTAAATGAAATGTTAACTTCCAATCATCCATACGATTGTAATCAAAATTTAACGACTGCATCCAATCATTAATACTATCAATAATTTGTTTGATAACATAAATTAATTTTTCCGATGAATACTAACAACACAAAAACAATTTAAGAAAATAAAAAAAAGCTGCTAGTGCCTTCCTTATGAGATTAAAATAAGAAACACAATGTAGCTGCTGTGCTTAATCACAGGGAATTGTTTTATTCAATCTATTTTCGGACATACTTCTTCAAGAACCTTTTAATTAATCCTCCAGAAATACAATAAGGAAATAGTTCGTATATTATAACCAAACGTTATTGATGTACTGTCTTTCATCGTATATAAACAACGACTGTTGCAGACTGTGACGCGAGTGTAGGAGCATCGCTAAGGCGTCGATCACGGTCTGTAATATTTCTATGTTTGCATCTGACACGGTCCGTGTTGAAGCAGAGAATTTGCTAAGATATCTGTCACGTCTGGTAGTCGGTGGGACCATGGTTTTTTGGTCTTGGCTCGAATGATTTTTAGTTTTTCGAGCCCCGGTTTCGGTCTACAGAAACCTATTTCAGAATATATTCGTATCACATCTAAAATAATTCTTCAATACTGTTTATTTTTTATCTATTTAGTCGATGACTAGCAGTTTTTGTCGGGTCCTATCTCTTGAATTATGTTCTGGTTCATATAATTTATAAGATAGTTTGCTTAAAGCCATAGAATATTTTACTATAAGCTTGAGTCCCAATCTCGAACTTTAGACCTGACCATCCGGATCGGGACCGAGACTGGTTCCACACATTTCTAGTCAAGTCTGTGGTGAGCTGTTCCTTGCATGTTTTAGATTATATTTCACCAAAGACATTGTTTATACTTATTTACATTTGGTTTAAGATGACCAACAAAACACCACATAGCTGCAGCACTTATTTCAAGTTCAATTGTAAATGCATACATATATGCTTGTGGTTCATATTCAACATGCTGAGTTAATATACGTTCATTAACATTCATACCTAAATTAAATTAGAAATCGATCAATAAATATAATCGAAAACTTGTTTCTTTTTTAAAAATTTTCTAACCTTGAAATAATGTAAGAAAACGTAACCATAGATTAAAATATTTCTGATTTTCCATTATTGTGAAAGCAATTTTTTCTTGAGATAATATATTAACAAAATCACTTAATAATGGCCAATAAACATTTTTTACTATTAAACGATGTTCAACATCTAATACCATACCAACATTTGACTCGCTTATCACTGTTAAAAAGAAGAAATATATATATATATGTAATTAGATTGAGTCATTTGTTTAGATCGACTTATATTTAATCGCATATATTTCTATTAGAAAAAATCCTTATCTTTAAGATGTTCTTAAGTAATAAAAACACTTTGGGTAACCGAACTTTTATTACCGAATGATTAGTAGTGTTAAGTTCCTTTTGTGTCATTTATTCAAAATTAAAACTTAGAAAATAAGCAATCCTTGGTTATTGTGTCCATTTTACTGGTAGCAAAGAGTCAAAGCATTTTGTCCATTGGTGAAAAAGATGTTCATTTTACTCATGAGACCGTAGATTAGAGTTCATTGGGTTCACAATTTTCAAACCCGATCTAAACGTACTTTAATATTCTCGTTGAAATTTTCTAATAGCAACTTGATAGTCGCCCTGAAGATACAAGATACTTTTTTTCGTTTTTTTGTGTTCAGTGGCTAGCACACGCTACACATTTCTCAGACAACTAGAACCAATCGGGCCCGGGACCAAACAAACAGACTGTACAGTAGATACAGTTGATGAGTCGCTAAAATATATTTTAATACCATATAAACATCAGACTTAAATCCTGTAAGTGAAAAATTTCAGGCAACTTTTCTCGTTCATTAAAAATCATAAGGCAAATAATTATTGTGAAGTTACCAGATAGCTTGTAAGAAAAGATTAATGATTATGATTATCTCTTCGGGTACATTCTATTCCACGAAAATAAGTACCTTTAAAAAATCTTTACTAAAAATTCTTCCAGTCGAGGAATCCTCGTTGCACGGTATTTCTTTGACTAATCAGATTTCAATAGAGATTTTTTCTGCTTACATCATTGAAGAAAAACTTTGTTACCTGAACAAATAATGTGAGAACATATTCTTTAATATCGATAAACTTTGATAAAATTGAATAAAGTATTGTTATTTTGAAAGAAATAGCCTGTATTTAGTAAAGTCACGCCTTTTTCCGTTATGCATTACTCGGTAACTACTAATATTCCAGAGGAAATTATCAAAGCAAAAACAGTTGATTCCAATGGACATAGGTCTCCCAAGGTCACCAAGGTTGGAGATCGCCTTTTATGGGTGTATTCGTGAGCAAAACAAACGAAGAGAATTGTTCAGTTTTACTGTGAAAAAACAAAAAATTTCGCAGACTGGAAAGCCACTTCGTTCGGTACATTCTTCATTTCGGATGATTCTAATGCCACAGAATCTGATATTTCCCATCTCAAAGCACTTATATTTAACTATGTGATAGAAGAGATCGGCATTATATTCGAAACATGGCATTAATCGTAAATATATAGAGTGGTACAAAAGTAATCCGGTAGTCTTTGATTGCGAATAAATTTTCATAGGAACAAGATAGAAAGATGCGGTTTGCACCGTTCGAAACAGGCGATGAAGGCACATTGTAGAATTATATAATATGAGACACTTTTGACTTAGCTTTTTCAAGGACTTAAGCCGACGATTTTGAAAACTAATGTACTTCGTAAGATGACTACACTGAAATTTTTAGGATTTTGTATGTGCATTTGAATCGCTAGTCGGAAACCTACAAAACTGTGCAAAGCCCAGACTTGAAGGACTATTTCTTCAGAAGTTATAAGTATTCTACTAGAAATTCTGAGCCGATTTTCTATTATTTTCTGTGAAAAAATCACTTCTGTGCGTTTTTCTTATTTTTGCAAGAAATCTCTTTTCCGGCAATTGTTTTTAGAAAACTGATTAAGAAAACTATAGAAAACGTCTTAGAAAAACTTATAATACAAGATTCGATGCGTCTTCATCTTCTCTTTCGATCGGTGAAAATCGCAACTCTCTATCTCATTTCTATCAAAACGTTTTTGCAATCAAAGACTGCCTGGTTACTGTTGGATCACCATGTATATGAGAAAAGCTTTACATGCTACGATCTCTTTCATAAGATGAACATTATTTCTAAACACTTTTTTTTTTAAATTTCATCGACATTCTATAAACATCTTTCTTACAAGTAATCTTAAATTGATTCGATACATACATGCTAATGGATGTACTTTAAGTATATTTTCATCATCATCAACATCATCATCTTGTTTATCTTGATCTATTGATGGTACAAACATACGCCATATACATGAAAGTATAACTTCAATTAAATGACATTTTTTCATAGCATATTCAGCAATAATATTTGAGGAAAATAATTGTACACTAATATGAACGAGGCGTGATGGTATTTCACTTGAGTCTGAAAGTGATTCATCAATAAGTGATTGTGCTATAACACCGTAGAAACGTAAAAATGTTTCTGTGAATAACAGCTACAAAAAATAACATTTTATAAAAGACATGAAAAGTTTTTTTTTTTCCATTACTTTGAAATTAAAATCAGGTAATAAACTAAGTAAAAATCGTACAAGGTCTTCTGGTAAATTTGCTGTAACACACCACATCATTATTTCATCAAGCATTGTACGTAAACTTGTATCAAATGGTAATAAACTATTTGATGCTGAATCATTCATTAATGATTCAACAAAAAATGTCACTGGTAATGTTGAACATTCAGCAATTAAATATTCATAATGATAAAGTCTAATCATCGATGCTAAACAAATGAAATTTAAAAGAAAAAGAATGAAAAATTTTTTCCTTCATACGATCAGTAATGAATTCTTCATAAAGACGTATATCAGTTAATGTATTTGTCATGTATACTTGTATAGCTGAACCACCATTTGATAATTGGTTAAGTATTTCAAGTAATTTTTGTTCTGTTACTATATCACCTAAAATAATTAATAATCAAGATGATTTTCAATGCTTTTGTATTGAAGAAAAACAAAAATAATCAATTTCTTTACCGCTAACATTACTCATACGTAGAGCACGTATAAAAGCTCTCAATAAATGTGGAATAAGTAATTCTGCACAACATATTAATTCACGTGGTACCATTGATGTTTTGGGTCGATTTTCACCATGAAAACGACAGAATCTATTACAAAATAAGCAAATAAATTTCTTTTAGAAAAGTTTTTCTTAACAAAATGTATGTTCTTTCTTTTTCAGTCTGATTTGCTACTTAAATCAACAGAAATCTATCGGAGTTCTTCTGATGTTTCAAAATAGAAGAATTTTACTGCCGTCCAAAGAATTTACAAAGGCATATTCTTCGCTTGGAACTTTACGTACCTTGTAGACCTTAATGAGCTATGTCTACCATAAAAAGAGTTCGTGCATATGGCCTATTTCTTAGAAGGTCAAATAGTTTCAATTGAAATTCATTGTCAGATCCAACATTTGCAGCTAGATCATATTTTCGAATTTTGACTTGAACCTTTGCTCACATAATAAACTCGATTAGACTAACCTGTATAAAAGCATTTCTGATTTTTCAGACTAAGTCTCTCGGAGATATGATGCTGCATATACTAACTATAGAAAAGGGTCTATACTCTAAAATTTCCATATCGTGGAAGGATTTAGTCCGAAAACTCAAATTTTCTTTTAAACAAGTTAGTCTAATTGAATTTTTCATACGAGTAAAGTCTCAGATGAAAATTCGTTAGAAATATCTGATCTTCTAAGAAATTAGTCATAAGCATGAACTCTTTTAATGACAGATATAGTTTACTAAGGCCTACAAAATGCACTAAGTCCCTGATGAAAGTGAACCGACACCCGGTAATGTTTCCTCGTTAACAAAAATAAAATAGACTTCTGTTGTATGCAGCAGTATGTCAAAATTCTCAAATTCTAGGATTGCATTGGAATACTATTTTATATACGAACTAATGTCCTGCAATGCGATCGGGCGCCTGACTCAGAAATTAATGAGACCTCGACGTTTCAAAATACTCTGACTTTTTCAAACTACTAATTTATATAAAAGTATTGGTATGAAAACCTAAGCGATTTATTGTATTTGAAAACAAGTCACAGAAGTAAAAAATAATATTGTTTTACTAAAAAGAACTTGTTTCTAATGAAAATTTATCTGCAGATGATGATAAACCATATGACGAAGTAACTGAATACATAAGAAGGAAAATGAATTATCAAAGAGATGAACATGTATTATCGTGGTGGAAAAACCATTCAGAGATGTATTTACAATTGTGACATTTGATACCAATACTACGTTCTATTCCATCATCATCAGCCACAAGCAATTGTATGCTTGACGAAACTGATCAGATTTTAGAAGTAGAAAGGCACCCAGTGAATTCTGATTCACTTGCTTGTTCAAAGAGCTTGAGATGATGTCCTTTTTTTGTTACTGTTTATAGAAGAAAGCAAAATAGTATACTATTTTATATAAAGCAAAAGTTTGAAAACCGTACTGTAACTATGAAACTATGTATTAGATGTGAATTAGCTCGGATCCGGACTCAGTTTGTGAAAAATCGTACCGTGCATGATACTAATACGAACACAATAAGATTGTGGAAAACTAAATTTTTCATAAAATAATAATCTACAAACTATTTGTAATATGTGATTTTATCGAATAGAAATCTGTCGGTGAGAAATTGAAATTTATTAAGGTAATCCTAATAATTTCCAGGAAGATGTAAACATTTTCCATTTATTCTCCCATGCTGAGATAATTAGATAAATCGGTATTTTTAGACTCTGTTTGCATTCAATGACCTATATGAGTTCTCGACAGTGGAATGGAAGTCAATTATAATTTTCTAGTGACAATGGAAATGTTTATTATAAGTTAATACAAGTACACATATTTGTATCAAATTAAACCACTCGATACACAATATGCATGTTCGCATGGCAGATAGACATGTATGTTTTGTTTTCTGGAATAGTCTTCTTTTGCTTAGAGTCGTCTATCACTTAGAAAATCACTTATAAGAAAATAAAGAATTTTCAGCGAAAAAAAAGTAGTTCAAGAGAACCCTTGATCACATTTTTTTGAGAAAATATTTTGACTAGAAAATGTCTTGTATCATACAACATTCAATGTAGTTTCGCGCGCTTATACCGAATATACGATTGATTTTCAATAGACATGCTTTGAAATGTGTAAAAAAAGAAGTTTACGCGAAAAACCAAGGTTTATTTGAAAACAAAACACAATTTCAGTGGATTTGAATGCGCTTTAAGGGGTACGCATTCATTTTACATAGCTTAGCTATACCAAAACTTAGTTTAAAAAAATTCTATTTTGTTTTGCTAAAAAAAACCCAGATTCAATTTAAAGGATATCTTCGATGATCGATACCAGACGATATCTGGCTTCATAATATCTACTGGGTGCGCCTACCAAGTAATTTGAGTTTGTTAAAAATTGTTTTTCTCATCAATACCAGTATTTCAAAGCTAATTTTTGAATTCTTGTTGTTCTATTCTGCTTCAAATACACAACAACAATTTTTACACCGTTAGTTAGAGCATGTCTCAAGAGTATATTTATCACTATTTGAATCGAAGAAAAAGTGACTTTGGTTTTTTTAACATAATTCTATGCATCAACAAACTATCAAATTTAAAATATAGATTGTTGTCAATGTGCCTTGATCGAGATATTCGAATTTTACGGTATTTACAGTGGATGTAACATAGTCATAAGTCAAAAGTTCACCAGAACATTTTCTCGTCCAATATGGATAGCGTTCTTCGAGGTTGTGCATTAAGGAAAGTATTTTTGAATTTTTTAAATAAAACATTTTACGAAAATCAGAATTTTTTGTCTATTTTTTTTTAATATTTGAAAATAACGGTATCTTGAACTTTTTCGTAAAATATTTTTTCCTCGTGCAACTTGACGAGCTCTAACCATATACGAAATAAAAAGATTCTGCTGAAATTTTGATTTGTAAGTAATATGTTATATGCAGTGTAAATATCCTTGAATTGGAATATCTCGATTCAGACACATTGATAGCAATCTATATTTTGAATTTGACAGTTTGGCGGTGACAGCTTTAATTTAACCTAAATATGTCTGTTTTTGTTTCCTAACAGTACAAATACCTCAATTATAAAATGAGTACTAAATGACAATGATATTATTGATCCTTTAGTATTATATTTCGCACTTTGAGTACATTATATAGCATGTGCATAAATTGCAAAATCAAGCTACTGACATGATAAAACTTAATCCTTTAAACGTATTTAAGGAAAATATGAAGACTCTTTCGATATATTGACTTGGATGCTTTCATTCTATAACGAAACTAAAAGGAACAAATGTTGATATACATGAAATCAGAAGGGAAACTCTATTCAATTCTCTCGAAATAAAAACACAACGAATAAATATATTAATATAAATTTTTTTTGTATTCTCTACCCGAATTCATGCATAACACTTGAATCTCCACAATCACATGCACCACCGGCTTGACTTTTAAACATATTATAATTATGTCCTTCATGATTTCCATTTTGAAAACATTGAGAACATATACTCATACATGGTGATATCGAACATGTTTTACATCGATATGCAATAACATTTGCATTCCAAACTAGACCACATATTTGTGCACTATTATATTGACGAACTAAATAATAATAATAACAATAAATAAGTTTTCTTCTTTTTTTTTTTCTTATTTATTTTCTCATACTTTTTTCAATGAATTCATCCATTGACCGATTACCAGGAATATATTGTTGAAAAAACTGTACTAATGTGTCAGTATTTTCATTTTCATGAATATTATTTGTTAAAAGCTTTTCGAGTTCTAATTTATCAATTGTACCATTAACTAAACCAGTTTCTAATTGTTCTGGTGTTAAACATATTGAATTCATTATATCCATTAAAAATATTAATTTAGATTAAATATAATCTAAAGAAAACGAATGTATTATTTCGAATATAAGAAATAGAAAAAAAAACAAACATATTGTCTATGGTGACTCATTCGGTGACACAAGGAAAAAAGCTAAAAACAGCAGAACGTACACATTTTTGTTTATTATCGATTTTCTTTTTTGATCTACTAACTGATGTGAATGACTCACCGTATCATTTCTAAAACAGAATTCATTGATGCACTTGTTAAGGTCATTTTGTAAATAGGTTCATTAAAAAAATTAATGACACAGAAAAATTAGGTATATCTTACAATGTTATTATATCATATTTTCATCGAGACCATTTTCACTTTTTATATTCTCTTTGTATTGTGCACCAACGACATCATGAGCATTCTTAATTTCATTGGTTCTGCTGCCACTAAATAACTAAGCAACGTAAAGAAGCGGGTCATAAATAAAAATCTGATAAAAACTAAAAACGTGTTTCTAGTGTTTAAAATTCTACTTCGCTTATGTTACACAGTGAAGTAAATGGTATTTTATATTCAAACGTAGCAAATTTAAATACACTCATATTTTGGCTCTCTCGAATGGAATTTTTCTCAGATTCCTAAATATATTATCGATTCTGTTATTATCTAAATGTTGTTTGAGTGAGTCTATGGGGTTCAACAACTGCCATTCGTGTAGTTGGCGAAAGTAAATATCTTATATTTTCAACGGAATATTGAATGAAGTTTTGCATTTAGTTCTTTAATAATTAAATTAATTTTATGATTATTGAATAGTGGTATTTTTTTTACTAATTGTACATTTTAAACTTAACAAAAGGAAGACAAACATCTCTTGTTGGTTGTGAAATTTATATTAAATATTTTATTGGAAATATTTCTTCTGACGGTAAAACTTTTGAAAAATTTTTCAACTGTAAGCCATGTGTGGGCTTTAATACGCAACACGAATTTACGCTCTAAAGAAAGCATACAAATTTAGAAAGTTTCGGACATTTCATAGTGATGAGAATATTTAGTTAAAATAGAAACACTTACAAAACAAAATCGATCTCTGTTACAGTTTATAAACGACGTTAACAAGAGTCACACTAACAGGAAACTATGAATATTTGAAACCAATTACAGGAGAAGTACATTCTCCCTTTCGATCAATACAAACAATATTTTTTCAGGTAAAGGGTATCTCTTTAGATCGTATCATAAAAAGTCTTGATTATATGCTAGCGTTACACAAAAAATCAAATTGAATTCTGATCTTCATCAACTCGTTTCTAAGTACTGTCATAATATGTTAAAGTGGGTCGCGTTCACTTGGCCGACACATCACTTGACCAACACCATTTCACCGACAAATTGTTTGGCCGACATGTACACTTCGTCGACAACTCATTTGGCCGACACATATTTGAGGTCAAAAAAATTGAAATTTCTTCAAAATATTGCGTGGATTTTCCCACTCATTCACCTATAAATAGTGAGCATTTTTCAAAATAAAATCAGACGACATTTTTTTATCAGTTAAAACAAGTCTCCCGCTAACAAACTGTTATCCGTGAGATAAGTTCGATTTTCTTCGGAGCATTGCCCATAACCTTTCATTATTAATTTTTGTGACTTTTAATAAAAAGTTTTTCTGACGCAATATTTTCAAGAAATTTCATTTTTTTTGACTTCAAATATTTGTCGGCGAAGTGTACATGTCGGCCAAACAATTTGTCGGCGAAATGGTGTCGGTCAAGTGATGTGTCGGCCAAGTGACCCGGACCCGTTAAAGTACAAAAAGTCAGTATTCTGAATACTCGATCAGTTTGCATCTACTTTGCTGTTTTTTGCTTATGATTGATTCTGTAATATCTTTTCTTAGAGAATCAGGATATCTAATTTATGAATTTAGTAGTGCGCTTCAGATTATCCCGTCTAGAAACATTTTATTTACCTGCATTTTAGATGATCTACCATCAGAAGAATCTTGATCTCTTGAGTGTAATGATGATGAAGTTGATACACGTCTCGTTCTTCATTTGCAAGATGCTGCATTGTATAATTATAAATACGTGTGTATCTGATCTGCGAACACTGACTTAAACTTTTTAATGATATTATATGCTAATACCATTAATCTACCACAACTTGTCGTTGATTCAATCGTTCGTAATCGTCAAGCAAAATATATCAATTGCACTGTGATATATAATCAACTAATCAATAAATACAGCGTATTTTCAGAAATCCTACTTTTTCTACATGCCATCAATGACTGTGATACAATTTCGTTTTACAGAAACATATTCAAAACGATATTTTCGAAACATTTTTTGCTAATCCACATCATTATGGTGAACTTCAAAAGCTTTCTGCTTTTTCGGTTACTCAAGAAGACCTAAAGCTACTTGAGAGATTCATTTATGATCGTATTCATCATGAAAAACGACGATCACAAGGATTGATGACTTCAACTCTTGCTTCATATAACCAGTCGGTATTAAATTCTACACTAACAACTTGTTTATTTCGCTTGATCATTTACGTGTAACTATGGCACTTAGTGCACTACAAACAGGAAACAAATCAATCATCCTTACAATTCCACCATCATCTGATGCACTGTTTCATCACTGTCGTAGAGCTAGTAGACGATACTGAATATGGAGAAGTGCACATTATGATAATCTTCCGTATTCTGATCATGAATCATTTAGTTTTTTGAAAAAAATTAACAATGAAATTAACGTTAAATGGACGACAAAATGCCTTTGCCTAAGAATAATTCTTTTTTCCATGTAAGTTGTGATTTTGTTATGCTTGTCATTTTTTAAAAGAATATTTCGTAGTTTTAGTCTTGCAAGTGTACAGACAATTGTAAGAAGTACAAGCGTAATAAATATTTACAACCACGTACCATATATTGTTCGTGTGATGCATCAAAATGTCAAAATCGTATATTAATTACTGATACTTCGTTAACAAAACATAATGAATCAGTAAGTTCAGGAACACCTTCACTCTTTCATCTCAATCCTATTTGTAGCCATCAATGTTATTTACGAATACGAATAGTATTATCTTACATGACCCTGCTTATTTGTACAAAAGTAATGAAAGCATCATCGATGGTGAAGTATCGTATAGCTCTGATAAAGGTAATGCTTTCAATATTTCGAATTTTTAAAGAGATACAGTTTAAAGACCAATAGAAAAAAAATTTGTTTGCTTATTTATTATTTTTAAATATTTTTTTAGAATACTGAATCATCCGATGACATGTTTTCATTCGACTAAGTCAATAGAACTCTATGGTGACATTATATCTTTTGTTACGATTTTGTATTTTATTACATTTTTACTTTTTTATCAAGATCTTTCTATTGATACTGATATTCTTGATGTTTGTTTTTGTATTTTTACTTGTTAGTTATTATGAAATAAATCACTTGTGGAAACTTATAATACAGATTTCACAAAAATGAGGTATTGAGCAAAAAAATAAGATACAACAGTAATATCTTGCATGTCATGTGTCTATGAGTAATTGTACGTGCTTCAGTCATTTCTTCTTGGCCGTTTCCATGTCAAACCTCCACCCTGAAAAAAGAATACCTAGCGTCATCTACTCATTTTCTAAAAATGGTCAACATAATATTTCGCAAAAATTATTAGTCTTATTACGCTGATTCTGAAAATATATATATATCATTATATGGTTCAATTGCAAAAAAAAAGTATTCACACAGTGCATTTAGAAATAACCACTAAAATTTGAGCGCAATCGTTTTCCATCAGTCAGTATATCATTTCTTGTAACCAAGAAATGATCAAACAGATTCCTCGTTATTTTCCAAAATTATATTTTTCATCAATAGCAACTGAATTAAAATCATCAAATGAAGTATATGTTCCACCTTATGAAAGACCATCATCAGATGATATTGATAAACTTCAAAAATTTATATCACATGCCAAACGATTATTTATTATAACAGGTGCTGGTATTTCAACTGAATCAGGGATACCAGATTATAGATCAGAAGGTGTTGGACTTTATGCACGAACTGCAAATCGTCCAATGTAAGAAAATAAATGTTTTTTTTTTTTTATTAATAATTTTATTTTTAAATAGGATGTATCAAGAATTTTTAACTAATCCAAAAAGATATAGAATGTATTGGGCTAGAAATTATATTGGTTGGCCAACGTTTTCTGCTTTTCAACCTAATGAAACTCATAGAACATTTGCTAATTGGGAAGCACAAAAAAAATTAAGTTTCTATTGGCAAAGAAAAAGAAAAATATTTTTTTTCTCGAATTTTATTTTTGAAGGTATTCTGGCATGTTACACAAAATGTAGATAGTCTATTGACGAAAGCTGGATGTGAACTATTAAGTGAATTACATGGTTGTAGTGCAAGAGTTGTATGTGTTGATTGTGGTTATAAAGGTCTTACGCGTGAGCAACTACAACAAATTATATTCAGTCAAAATCCTATTTGGATAGCACACTCAAATGTTATTAATCCAGATGCTGATGTACATCTAACGGAAGAACAATTGGGCGATTTTAAGGTAGATTAGGATAGTAAGCTTAAGTTATTTTCTCAAGTTTTTTTTAAATTTTAGCCACCTCGATGTCCTCAATGTTCTGGTCGAGTGAAACCAGATGTTACTTTTTTTGGTGATAATGTCGATCGCCGTTTAATTACTTTTATAAACGAACAATTAAGTAAAAGTGACTCTGTTCTAGTCGCTGGTTCATCACTCGAAGTAATGTCATCTTATCGTTTTATTCTTGCTGCACTACAACATCAACTACCTATTGCTATTGTTAATATTGGTCGTACACGTGGTGATCATGCTGCTCAATTAAAAGTCTCTACTCGTTGTGGTTCAATATTACCTCTTATAAAAATAGACTCATAAAATAGAAAAAAAGAAGATAAAAATTTCTTCATTTATTCTTTTACTTTTTAAATAAAATGTTATGTGATAGAAATAAAATACACATATTATTCATTAGAAATTTATTAAAATTTATAATTTTGATGAATTGGTTAGATTTATTATCTCATTTATCAATGTTTTCATCATTATTGTGTTAAATAATATGTTAAATTATATTGAATAAGAATATATGCATATTCACCTAATTGATCAGGAAGAAGGTAAAAGAAATGTTTGTTTTACTTGATAATTAAGATAAAATCGTTGTGATATTAAAAATAAGTTCATTTAATATAATCTTTTATGATTTCTTCCAAAATTTATCAAAGTCAAAAAAATAATTATCATTGATCAATTTTAAACTTTTGACGATTAGTAATCCAATGATTCCTTTTCTTTTTTTGTTTTTGTGTACTCAAAAAGTGAGTACACTCTAGAATCGGTCAGTATGTCCGGCCGTTTACACGATAACTTTCGAAAGGAGAGTTCGATCACGATGAAATTTTCTATACAGTTCAGTCTTTACAATATCTCGGTCGAGTTCAAAGATGAGAAGGATCGGCCAAGCCGTTCCTGAGTTATTGCAAAAATACCCATTTTTCCCTATAGCTTCCCTATGAAAAGATCTACCCATCCCCACTTTCGTAAAAGACTTTTCCTATCATAGTCAACTAAAACCCCAACTATTATATACCATTCGATAGAGAATTTCAAGAGCTACAAAATGGTATATAAAACATAAAGAAACAAGAAGGTTGACTCACCTATGACAAAGAGAATTAAAGAGAATTAGCTTATATTTTTGTCCACGATCTAATTGATCCACAAATAGAGCTCTATCTTCCGATCGCAGAGATAATACTTGGAGGTTTTCTGAGATGGAGAACTCGAATCTGCATTCCGCTTCCATCGAAATACTATTGGTTGAGCAGTAACTAATAGAAATTAAGTTATAGGAAAAACAACTTTCTTAGGGTAAATCAAGGGGAAGAGTTCAAATTTGAGCTGTATTCAGCCCCAAGTCCTATTGGTTTGGCAATAGCCAATAGAAATCAACAGTTTAGAGGGTAGGTTCCCCAGTATAATTTTGATATTTACACATTCTAGGATGGCTAATTCGTCTGATCCACTTTTTGAAGTACACATAACTCTCGGATTTAAATCCGAAGTTTCCGCATTTATTTTTTCTTAATTTTTATTTATTAAATAAAGTATCGATTGAATTTTTCGAGTTTTAGAATAGAGTAAAGTAAATAATGTGAATTCTTGCATTATTTATTGTTCAGATGAACAATAATTTGAATGTAGTGCAACATTTTGAATTTCAACATTTGTTCAATATGGTCAGCTGCCAGACACTAAATAATGCACATTTTTTATTGACATATTGTAATATTCATCTATGCCATTGATTATGGTTTTATAGCAATGACTTCTATGATAGAACTACAATATTACAGTATTCTCAATTTAATTTACAATTGAATACAACAATACTTTTTATTATTGACGATTTTTTTTTAAACTTACAAATGTAATTAAAAACTTTTGTTGTGAAGTCCTCTATAATTTTTACTATCGGTTTAATTAACAATGACAGGTGATTGTTAGAACATGACATTTGCAGATAGGAAGTATATAATAATAATGTTTATTTCATATTCTAGAATATATTATGTAAAAATCTGTAGGATTTATTGATTTTAACAAAACATTCATGTGGAAGTCATTGGTGCGAAGTGCATGTCTTATTTATTGAAATAAAGTCTATGACAATATACGAATAATTATCAACTGCTCTTGTTTTCATACAGTTAATCTAACTCTTAGAAACTACTACTGCAATAACAGGATAAGGTATCGTGATCACAGCATAGCTTCGAAATATGTTTCTCATCACTCTTCCAATGAATACACTAAGACAAAATTTATAGAGGGTAGCACGAGAAAAACGTTTTTAGTTTAAAAATCAGAATTACAGAAAGCCGCCAGTAATAAGAAATGTTAGTTTCGATTGTAAATTAAATTTAGAATTTTTCAATATCTAAATTATAACATGAGAGCCATTACTACAAAGTCATGAATTATGTACATAAACAACGTTGCAATCTGCCAACAGAAAAAGTGTGACTGTTCTAGTGTGTCGCAGATTATTGATAAAACACTTTGGAATAAATTTGATTGATTTTTATGATTCCATTTGCGAAATTTTTTAATATATTTCAAAAATTTTTCAGGGGAAGTATTTTTATGAGAAAAAAATTATAGAGGACACTATTTCCACTACCTATGCTTTGTTATCTTTAAATCTGTTATATATAAATGAAATGTTCTTCTGCAGCGAAGGATTTTAACAAGTTTCAATTAATTATATTTTGTTTGAAAATGAGAAAAAAATCGTATTGAATAATTCAAGTAATCTATAAATGATCTTCTTATTTCTATTTGTTTCGGTTTCAATGACTCATCTCAATGCTCACTGCAAATGTTAGTCAGTCGACAGAGAAAGAAAATGATAGTGTGTTAAGCGAATCAATATCAAATGCGCTATGTACGACGTTTTCTCCCAAAAAAATAGGCTGAACTTTTGCTTTATACTAGTCGATAGAGAAAACTTTTCTCTATCTAACTGTACTTTTAGTTTTTTTCCAAAAAAATGTTTCTACCGAGAAATAATTGATACTAATTGACCAATCAAAATACGTTAACGCTCATGAATCCTTCCTTCTTCATTCGAAAATAGAAATATGAACTGCAAGAAAATGTTCTTGAATTCTTTACCGTAAATGTTGAATGAATATATATGCAAGATTAGGAAAGCTGAGTAAGACTAACGATTCATTTGTAAGTCTTTTTGAATATCTTTCAGTACGAAATCGTATTTGGACGATTTCATTTCTAAAATTTACATTTGATCTCTAAAATGTTAGATAAAAGGATCGTTTGAATATAAAAAAATTGTTGCGGATTGTCTTTTTAATTAAATTAGATCATTATTAATTTTAAAGATTCGAATTTATGATATATATATATATATATAAACAATGTCAATTGAAGTCTAGAACGAAAATTTACTTAACTTGATACATGAAGTTGATGTGAACGTCAATAATATTAATCATACCATTAAATCAATAATTTTTAATGATGAATAAGCTGTGAAAATTGAGAAACTGTTATAATCTTAAGAATAATAAATGAAAAAAAATTGAAATTTCTAATTTTCTCAGGGAAGGATGACAGCCGTATTATTTTGCTTTTAACGAAGCAAGTATTCTTTGTTATTCTCACGTGCATAAATGAATTCATCAAAATTACAAAAGATTATGTTTAGTTCTTATTTGTTATGTTAAATGTAAAGTAATTAAACAATTTTTTTTGTTGAGATAAATATACAAAAAAAAAAGTTTGACTCTTCATGTAGTTCATTTGAATGATACCCTTTGTTCAGATTAAATAAGTCCAGGTGACGAATTTTGTTTGTTGAAAAGTTAAATCACAACATGAGTCCATGGATAGATCTGATGACTTTAGATATCTCCTGAAAGTTTCAATCGAAAACAATGTTTCTTTGTTGAGATATTGAATTCCAAAAAAAAATATTCGTTTGCCACTAAAAATCGAATTTACTTAAGTATTTCATATCTCGACAAAAAAACATTCTTTTTAGTTGAAACTTTCGTGATATTTCTTGAGTCATTAAACTCATGTATTAGCAAAACTTCAGATCGGAATTCTGTTATTAGTTTTTTCGATAGATACGTAAAGCCGAATCAAAAATTCAATAAAACATGCATAATTCAGCTTTAGAGGCTCACGAGCACGAAGTCTTTGAAGATTTTTCTAGTCTTATCGAGAATTTACTGTGAACACAACATAAGCAGATATAAGTTAAGTTAGTTTCTACGCTAGTTGTTTTTAATTCGATACAACAAGAAAAAGAACGCAATAACAAAATTAAATGCACAAATTTATTCAGTTAAACGATGAAAATGAGATTTATATTATTCTAAAATAGCAATAATATCTTTGAGTAATTTGCCATGTACGAATTGTTCAAAAACATAAATATATTTCGCTTTATGTATTAATGTCAGACTGATAGGTTTTTTTTTCTGCAAAGACTCAAGAGAAGGGATTAATGAATTATACAGAATACAATTAAAATGTGTAGTATCAGATTGATTTTCAACTTTTCATGATTTTTTTACTAAAAATCATCTCATGATAAGCTTCATAATAATCGCAGTCAACACCGATTTAACAAAATATGCAATATATAACGATGATATTTTATTTTAAATAATAACAGTATCATTTTATTTGGTTTCTTTTACATTTACGTTTTATTCTATCAACAGATTGATTTGTTGTTTTTGTGCAACTTCTTCCCAGGATAACGGTTATTACATCTGTCCATATTTTTAGCCTTAAATTCAGAACACTGAATTATTTCGTGTACGGTCGTAAAACACCGGTCTAAGTAAGGATAAAATACGCCTTATCAACAGTTTGTATACGGCAACGGACGTTCTAGACCATTCATTGTTGAATAAAAGATTATTGAATGTTGATGAACACAATCTAGTATTTGTTTAATAGATTGTTGTAACTCATTTTGATCTAAGTGTTTTATTACTATTCTAAATAGAGCATCTTTTATTGTTTGTAACATGAATATCTGTTATTCAGATTGTAATGAAATGTTGATAAAATGCTAAACATATCTCTTTTTTTTTGTTTGATAAAATTCAATATGTGAAAAACTAATTGTAGTTTTCCTCCAAGTAGCATATCGTTGACATTCATATCGTCATTGTTCATCATTGTATCTGATATCTATAAGAAACTATCAGTCATCTAGTTTTTGTTGATTACATTTATTTATTTTTATTTATCATTATAGATTAATTGAGGAAGAATATATCTAAAAGATGACAGTTTAAACTAGTAATGCTTATTAATTCAAATACTGTTTTATTGGGTCGAACAATTCTTCTTGTTCCTTATGGAAAACATCATGTAAAAAAGTAAGAATCAACAATTCATATTTCATGAAGTTATATTATTCGATTAGATATCATACATGGATGGAAAATGAAGAAATACGAGAACTAACGGCTTCACTACCATTAAGTATTGACGAAGAATATAAAATGCAACAGACATGGTTAAATGATAAAGATAAATGTACCTTTATTATTTTATCAAAAGAAATATTTGATCGAACACATGATGAAATAGGTACCAAAAAATTACTTTTTATTGATGTTTCAAAATTTAATAGTAACTTGCATAGAATCGATGATTGGTGATGTGAATTTATTTTTAAATGATCCAGATGATACTCATTGTGGTGAAATTGAGATCATGATTGCTGAAGTAACAGCACGACATAAAGGTTACGGAATAGAAACACTCTATACATTTATGCGTTATGGTAATAAATTATATTTATTTTATTAAAGTTTTATTGTTTTGTGTAGCTATTGAAACACTTAATATAACTCGATTGATCGTTAAAATTGGTTTAAAGAATTTACCAAGTATTGCTTTATTCACAACAAAATTTAATTTTTTAACGGTAACTAAAAATATTAATTGATTTAATTATGAATATTTATTTAGATCGAAACATCAGAAGTTTTTCAAGAAATTACGATGGAACGACATGTAGACAACGAATTTATCGAATTGCTACATACTAACACACCTAATTATAAAATCGATTTCTACGATAATATAACTACAAATAAGAAAGTCTGATATTAATATTTCATATAAATAAATAAAACTATCATCAGAAGATAGCGACTTTATCCTCTATTTAAAGCCAGTGTACAAATGTGTAAGAAAATGATTGAAACAAAATGCGAGAAATCATTTATGTAAAAGTCGATTTCATTCAACAATTGACTTATGCCAAGTATTGCTAATAACATCCATCAATATTTAAGCCATCTGAAGAGAAAAATCATTTCACCTATGAATCAAACATACCAATCGATTAATGTAAAATTTCTTTAAATTAATAATTTTGTCTTGATTTAACTTTCTCTATCATATTCTAATTGTGAGCACTTTCAATTCATTGGCTATATATAAGAATCTGATTTTGTATTTGGCAATAAATTATTTGATCAAAAGCGTACTACAATAATACAATACAAGAATAATTACGAAATAATGTTGATTATTAAAACAAAAGTTTGAAAACATATTGTACTTTTCTATCTATGTTACTGGTGCGATAGCTCTTACTCGATGTCGTACTCGTAACGTGTTCTGCCTTTCGTTTCTTAATTTAGGTAATGATATAGCAGAAACAATAGGACAAAGAATCATTGTACAATCATTCAAAAATCGTGCATATTCTCTAAATTTCGCGGTTACATCAAGTGGTACACCACACAGATGCAAAACGCTTGTTACTATTAATGGTAAACCAAATATAAGATAAATGACTGAGACCAATAACAATTGAACTGTCATTTTCCAGTGTTTTCGCCATTTTAACGATTGACCTATATGATGCTTTTGCAATCGAATACGTATTAATAAACCAATACTAAATCCAACAATAGTTAAAATCGGTAAAACTTGATGAACTATTGTATCGTACGTGTAAAGTGATGAAGAAGATGCATATAAACAAAGCTCGATACAAATCATACTATAAGCATCAAAAATATTTTCACAAGGTGGAAAAAATGTGACAACAATATAGTAGATGAGACAGTAGAGAACTAATATGAGTAAAGGCAGATAATGTACTAGTAAACGTTTCTTTTTTGTTGAAATCCATTTATCATGAAAGATTAGAATATGTCTTTCAATTGTAGCCCATGCAAAGAGTATTGTTTGAGTATAATAGAGTCCGCAGTCAATAAATAACCAGACAGTACAAAAGAGAGTTGTTCTTTTCCATATACCTTCCATGTTATAAAAATGAAGCATCCATGGGTAAATTGTTATTTCATGAATTAAACAAATGAAAAGAAAAATCACAATAGCACGATTATGAAGAGCATGACGTAAACTTCGCTTCCACAAAAGATGACAGAGGACAAATACTGAACAAATAATTGATGGAATAAGCAAGATAAGATATAGCCAGAATTTTACTGCACTTGGTATCGATTCATTGTAATCAATTAAGGAATTGTTACTGTAGTTAAACATGTCACTATGATTGGACATTTGAAAGAAGAGAAGAATGTTTGAATCAATATGAATTTAGAAAAAAGAATTGAAGATTGTAATTTAAATATGGCTGTTTTCAATGATGATAATTAATTCGAAAGGTTATCAAAATGATATTTGGTTCAATGAAGTATACTTATCTAAAATACTCAATGTTATAGCTAAAAGGTTTTGCTTTTTTGCTTTCAGATTCAAGAAAATGTTTTTAATCGTGTATACAAAAGTGTATTCGTGAAATACCTCGTAATTTTCAATAATCAAGACGTAATACATACATATTCTAATAGTGATGATGCGAGGCTAAGAATTGACTTTCGTGGAAAGAAAAAACTGTCAGAACTACTGTTCGAGATGCTCACTTAACTAAAACATGTTGAGTTAATATTCTAACATATTTCTATTTTTTGAATCAATGTTTTAAGATACATGCTATCCGTAGTTTCTCACTATTTTATCTCGAATGCCTCGCTAGAAGGAAAGAATATAATAATATAGCTTTAGTTTTTCTCATTGATAAGAGACACACTAATGGAAAAGCATATAAGATATAGGATCGAAAGAAAAAGAAGCATTGGGAATTTATTTTTTTCTGAAATTATGGCAGATGTGCAAAGAGAAGTGTAAATAATAAACATTGAATAAAACGCTTTGTTTTTGCATTTTACGTCAGTACCATGTGTTGTTTTGTTGCTCTTCTGACTTCTATTAGAGAGGATGTTTATTATGAAATACTGGTTCCATCTGCGAGAAATAAGTAAAAAGTATTATCTAAAAAATGCACATCGAGATGAGAAATACATATAATATAGCAACCTTTTGAGCTGTGCCATAATTCTACTAGAAGATTCAAGGCGTAAAAAAACGTTTTTTCAATTCTTCAAAGATTTCTCATCGAATATAGTTTTCCTTAAAAAAGGTCCTTGCCTTTATAAAGTAGTGATTGTTTTCAGTGCAATTCCTTACATATTATGCTTCTGGCACTGTGTTGAACTCCGTAGATGCGTTGTTCATTGTTTCTAGATTGACATACATCATGTTATAGAACTCAAAGCAAAATGGTGAAAGAAAAATCATTCTCACTTTACTTTGTCGTTCATAATTGGTTCACGGATTAAAAGATAGTTGACTAATACCAATGAAGTGATATGTTCAACATTTTATTCAGATTTGATTATTTCTGTTCTTCTTCGAAACTTACCGAGCAAAATGTCTTGTTTCTTGTATTAAAAATTGTTAACCATTTGATAAATATTTAGGTTAAATTTTCAGTGAGCCGCCAGCATATAGCAAACATCTCGTCTCATAATGCAAGTTGTATATTACATCCTCTTCAATAGCAAACGAAATACTTTATCGAGAGTTACCTTTAATGATAATGGATTATGTTTTAAAAACCATGAAATTTAATATAGTATTTCACTTATTACTACTAGTATTGATATTTACTTATTGTCTGCTACTGATCTTAATGATGCATCAAATTCATCTCCACTTTCTCATGTCGATGACTCGGGTTCATTTACTTCAAACTCTAACATTCCTTAACAGTTAAAGCAATTCTTATTGAAAAAAGAACAAAGATTTCATCTTGAAAATAATGATTTAACAAGGTCATTGCCGTTTCGAAGGTATACTTTTGCAATGTGCAAATGTGACCGCTTTTGAACTCAATTGAAAAGTACAATCAAGACAGTGTATCGATTTTGCAGAGTACTCTGTCTGATCCGATCCAATGAAGCAGGGCAGGAAATAAAACTATCACTCTGTGAACATCTATGATTCCACTAATGATTTCTGTCGTTTTATCTTCCTACTGAAGCTCTCTTGCTAGTGACTCCAATCATATTTTCAGAATCAGTTAAGTCCACATCAATAATGGGTATCATTTCATATCTGCAGTTGATTAAGATTCACTGTTTGGCGTTTTTTTTAGATTGGGACAATTGGCCTAATAACCTTAGCAATGATTATAGATAGAAAAACCTTGGAAAATTTAGGATAAAAGATCCTTTCACTCATATTTTTAATTGGAGATGTAATGATCAAATCTCTATTCAATGCGAATACTGAATATTAAGTATCTCATGCCTTTAGATATTGTTTCCACATTTATTTCATGAATGAAAATACTCAAAAAATTAGAAAAAAATTGGACATTTTTTAAAAATTTTGTTTAAATATTGAAAATACTCTTTTACTATTTGTTTAGTACTAAATATACGTTAGCTGCCAAAATTATTCAACGAAGTTTATTTTCAATTACTTTCTTCCACAGTAGTATGCGTTAAAACGAATGTAAACTGTTTCGAATAGCAATATACGAAAAGAGAAACTATTGTGTAATTTCTACACTTAAGATATCCGAAAAACCGACGACATACTTTTTCAGCACATAAGTAGAACAATAGAAAGCAAACTCTTCATTATAAAATGAGATGTGTCTAAGTTCTTTACGACGTCCTTTAGCTGAGATACAACAATCATACTAATGATTTCTATATAGTTTTTTTGTTTTACTTGTTTTTGATGAAGAAATCATCTATTGAACTTCTATCAGATTGTTATATTTCAGCTAATATATGTTGTAGAAAACTCAAAGACGTTTCATGCTTTCGAAAATGGCTTTCTTTCTATTATTCTACTTAATCTGAACAAGATGATAATTCTATGTTCTATATAATTGGAAAACTACATGGTCACTTGTGTGGAGATCTTCTCTTTAGAGATTAGCTAGTCATTTTTGTTTTCGCATAAGCTTGCTGTGAAAACTTTCTCAATTTAATTTTCAATGCTGAAGACTAAGTAAGAAATTTGTAAGTAAACCTTATTTTCATAATTGTGACAGATAGTGTATTTTTATTCATGCGTAATTGAAAGTATGTTAAAATTATTTTAACGGAAATATTATATATTATTTGTTTTCTAAAACTATCAAAATGAATCAATTATTTGATACGATTAGGAAACAACGTTCGTTATCCTGATCTTCGAATATCTTGATGACGTAAAGTTGAATAAGGTGGATATTTGTTGAAGTTATTTAAGTCAGATTGCTCTAAGTATTGTAACGGTTTCATAAAATTTCAAGGTTTATTGAAATATTTAATAATTGAAATATAACCCAGTATGAAATCATGTAAAATATAATCCGAGTTTTCGTGTTATGACAAAAATTGGCAAAGGTAGACTCAATTATAAATGAGATAAGAAAAAAAATCAATAGAAAGTTCAATGACTAGCTATGAAAATGCAGATACAAAACAGAAAAATACTTGGAAAGTGAAAATAGGATCTTTTCCAAACCGAAGTGTCTTGCGAAGAAATCATCTCTAAAGATATGATCACATTCTTTGAAGTTAACAATTGTTCCTTACAAAAAGAGATCGCCTATTATGTGATAAAGTAATCAGACCAATACGTATATCTATTGTTTGAACTGGCATTATTCATTGCCTGATCTTCGGTAGAAGGTTTCGTTTCTTTGTAAAAACTTCCACAAAAAGACAAATTTGTGTGAAGTTAGTTGCTTCTCATTTTCAGTCAACTAGATAGGATGATTGTGTTCATAATGTTCCGATTGACAACTGATAATAGATAATCAATCATATGGACAGTTTAACAATAAATCGACAACAACTTCTAGAAACATGTTGATGTTCATTGATAGACTGCTCATAGTATTGACTTTTCGCATGTCTCTATTTATATATCTTTTGCATTTTTGATAGCGAAACTCATGAAAACGTGAGTAATTCCAGTTTCAGAAAGAAGCGATACGAAAGGCTTTGGGTCTATGAACTGTAAATATTTCGTGCGAAAAAGAGTGCTTTTGTATGATTCATAGTAGAAACAATGATTGCTTTTCGACGAGACATCCTCTCTTTGCAATAATCGACACTCTAAGTATACATGAATAAATTCCCTCTGTAGTTGTCTACCAATCATTTTATCTAAAGTTTATTACAATAGTACAATACAAGAATGATTAGGGAATAATACAGAATATTAAAGAAATAATTGTCTAAAGATCGTAAATTTTTGATCTATGTTATCGCTGCCACAGCTCTTGCTCGACGTCGTATTCGTAAAATGTTATTTTTTTGGTTTCTCAGTCGCGGTAATGAAAAAGCAGAAACAATAGGGCAAAGAATTATTGTACAATAATCTAAAAATTGTGCATATTCTGTATATTTTGCGGTCACATAAAGTGGTATACCACAAAGATACAAAAGGCTTATTAATGTTAATGGTAAAGCAAATATAAGATAAATGACTGAGATAAACAACAATTGGAGTGTCATTTTCCAGTGTTTTCGCCATGTTAATGATTGACCTATACGACGCCTTTGCCAACGAATGCGTACTAATAAACCAATACTAAATCCAACAATAATTATATTCGGTAAAATTTGATGAACTATTGTATCGTATGCGTAAAGTGCGAAAGATTTAAAGAAACAAACTTCGACACAAATCATACCGTAAAATTTGAAAATATTTTCACAAGATGGAAAAAATATGACAGTAATATAATAGATGAGACAGTAGAGAACAAGTACCATAAAAGGAAGATAATGCACTAACAAGCGCTTCTTTCTTGTTGCAACCCACTTAGCATGAAAGACTAGAATGTGTCTTTCTATTGCAGCCCATGCAAAAAGTATTGTTTGAGTAAAATACAGTCCCCAGTCAATAAATAACCACACAGTACAAAAGAAAGGTGTTCTTTTCCATATACCTTCCTTGTAATAAAAATGAAGCATCCATGGATAAATAGTTACTTCATAAATTAGAGAAATAAAAAGAAGAATTATAATCGCATGATTATGAAGAGCGTAACGTACATTTCGATTCCACAAAAGATGACAGAGGACAAATACGGAACAAATAATTGATGGAATGAGCAAGATAAGATAAACCCAAAATTTAACTGCATTCGGTATTGATTCATTGTAATCAGTTAATGAATTGTTACTGTAGTTAAATGCGTCACTATCATTGAACATTTCACTGAATGGAAAAAAATTTTTGATTCAATATTCGTTGAGAAAAAAATTGAAAACTTTGATATAAATATGAATCTTTTCAATAATGATAATTAAATCAAAAGATTATCAAAATAGTAATTGATTAAACTAATCGTATATAGGAAAGCGTATTAGTAGAATTTCTGCTGTTTTTTTCATAGTCAAGATATGATACCTACTTTGTTTTTGAGTACTGATGATATGTGTCTCGAGATTGAGTTTCCTAGAGAGAAAATTATCTGAACTACTGTTCGAAATGTTTACGTAGCCTAAAACATATTCAAGTAACATCGTAAGATATTTCGATTGCGGAATCGATGTTTCAAAATACATTCACTCTCTAATTTCTCATTATTCTATCTGGAATGTTTCAATAGAGGGGAAGAACATAATAAAATGTCTTTAATATTCTGGCTGAAAAGAGGCAGGCTAATGGATAACCAAATATGATACAGCGTGGGAAGAAAAAAGTCATCGGCAACTGTTAGCTTTTGTTAAAAAATAATGGCAGGTGCGCAAAGAGAAGTGTAAATAATAAACATTGAATAAAAACGCCTTTTTTACATTTTATTTTAATCTTTTCCAATGTTTCTCACTCTTGTCAGAACTGTTAGAGAGGAAGTTTGTTAAAAAAATACTGGTTTTATTGGTGAAAAATAAGTAAAAAATATAAATTAAAAATGCGCATGTTGTTGTGAAGACTACACATAATACAGCAGCCTTTTTGAGCTGCATCATAATTCAACCATAAGATGTAGAGTGTGAAAAATTTTTTTCCACATTCTGCAAAGAGTTCTCAACGGGTGAAGTTCTCGTAAAACAAGACCATGTCTTTATAAAGTAGTGGTTGTTCTCAGTACAATTAGGCATGTACCGAGCTTTTTTTCGTTACTTTCAAACACTTTTAGTTCAAAACCTTCAGCTCTTAAGTGAAAAGCTGAATCATGAGGCCTAACTTATCAAAAGCTAGACCAAACATCGCTCTACAAAATGAGACATACCCAAGCCCTGTGCAACAACG